TTTTGGTTTTGAGTCTCACTGTGTAGCCCAGGCTGGCCTTGAACTTGGCAGTTCTCCTGCCTCAGCCTCCCAAATGGTGGGAGAGGTATGTGATGCCGCCTGGCTTCAGGCTTGCTTTTTACGCAAGTCTGCTCCTCCAGTAACCCCTTGAGCCCCGTGGAGGAAGCCATCATGAAAGCTTTGACGCAGTCTCTTCCCGAGTGGAGTGTCTTCTTCGCTGCCACTGATGGCCCAGGGCCTGTGGAGGCTGTGTTCACAGCAGGGGGGTGTTGGCAGCAAACTGCTCGGGGAGCCCCCCAGCCCTGGCCAGCCACGATCCTGACTGGCCTCTCCTGGCTCTGCAGGGCCAGCTCTCTCACTGTGGTCGCTGGGGGCCAGTGCATGGCCAAGTGGTCCCTGAGGCTGGGACTTGGACCTTCCTCAAAATGAAAGGCAGGCCTGGGTAGTTTCACTGGTCAGTGCTATCAAATATTCAATAAAACAAGTGCCAATCGCATGGACAAAACAGAAGAGCAGCTTGGATCCTTTTATGAGCCCAGCTTAACCTTCACAAAAACTTGGCAGGCTGGGTGTGGTGGCGCACACCAGTAATCCCACTACTCAGAGCCCAAGGCAAGAACCCAGGAATGAGGTCGAACCCAGTCTGGGCTACGTAGTGAGTTCAAGGTCAGCCTGAAGTATATAGCAAGGCCCTGCTCCCACTGCCAAAAAATAGATAAAGACATTACCAGGAGAAGCCTGGGCATATAGTTTTGTGGCAGAGTATATGGCTAAAGCCAGATGTGGTGGCCCACACCTATAATCCCAGTGTTTGGAAGGCTGAGACAGGAAGATCACCAAGAGGCTGTGTTGGAGGGCTGGGAAGATAGCTCAGTAGAATAAGTGCTTGCCTAGCAACAAACACAAGGTCCTGAGTTCAATCCCCAGTGCTACCAAAAAAAAAAAAAAAAAAAAAAGGGCTCCCTTGGGCTATGTAGTGAGTTCAAAGCCAACCTCAATCACATTGTGAGACACTGTCTCAAAAAACAGAACAAAACAGAGTGACTGGCTAGCATGCATGAGGCCCTGGGTAGCTCTTCATTACCACAAACAACAACACAAAATTGCAAATCAAGACACCTCAGAGGGGCTGGTGAGATGGCTCAGTGGTCTAAAGCACCTACTTAGAACAAGCTTAGCAAAGCACAGGGACCAGGTTCAATTCTCCAGCTCTTAAAACAGGATGGGTTGGGGCTGGTG